TTTTTTCCCCCCAGCGAGGACATCCTTGCAGTCGCTGTGCGAAATAATTCCAGCAGCTGAAGAAAGGCCTTTTGAAGGTGAGAATGGTTTGAAATGGGGGCTTTTGGGGGGGAAGGCAGGGCTGGGAGGCAGTTTTGGTGGCTGCAGAGTTGCCAGCAGCCTCTTCAGCACAGCGGGACAAGAAATCTCTCCCCAGGGATCTTGGGGTTGTCCTCAGCACTGGGCAACTTCACAAACTCCACGCGCCTTTACTCTCCGAGAGTTCCCCCTCAGTGCTGCTTCAGTATCCAGATAACTGGTTTACAGTTGGAGCGACTTGTTTTCCATTTCTCTTAACAGTTACAACACTTGGAAATGGACTTTTGCTCTCTGATAGCACTCGGTGCGAGCGTTCCGTCTGTTATCAGAAGGCGACACGGCCGTGCCTCTTGGATTAAACCGCCAGTTTTTAAGAACAGTTGTAAGGAAAGAACTGAAATCCCATTTTAGGTTCTTTTTTTCCTTTGGAAAGTGGCTATTTTAAACACCAAGAAAAGACTCCATTTGCCTGTTTTCTTTATATCCCCTTCCACCGTTTATAGTTTTGTTGTTGCTCAAAGTCGAGTTCGGATTATATAAATCCTAAATAAAGGAGGAGCCCTCGCCAAAAGCAGGCTCTTAGGCGTGTAAAAAAACCCTCTGCTGTCCAGCTTCTCAAGAGAGCCGGTCTGGCAGCTCCCTGTGCCTTTGTCCCTCCCGGAGTCACTTAATACCCTTCTGGGCGATCCGCGTGTCGGTAGCACGATTCCCATCGGAAAGGGATAGGGGCTGCAAAGCCAGTCGGCCCGTTCGCCAGCAGCGAGGAACGCGTGCCAGATCCATTAGTTCTGGATTGGACTCAAAATCCCTTCCCAGCTCGGCCAGGCTGGCCAGAGAAGGGGGGGTTGTGTCTTCTCCAAGGGCCTGATCCATCCTGCTGCAGTGGGCAGGAGGTGCTGGGTTTGGCTCCGTGCAAACAAGGATGCTGTGGGAGGGCAGGGACGGTTCACGATGCCTTCACCTCTTTTAAGGGGGGACAAAGCTTGCTCGTTATACAGTATGAACGCTTCGGTCCCGAGCCCAGGGAGCTGGCCAAGGAACTGCATTCTTCTGCTGATGAAATAAGATATTTCGAATTTGTTGTGTTTTTTTTTTTTTTTAAATAAAATGGGTTTAAAGTGCATGCGTTTCTAAAGCTGAAATTGAAACGAAACGTTCCAGCGGATTTTAAAGGAAATTTTAGTTCTCATTTCCCCTTGTGGGGTATGTTGAAATTGTGGGCGTTTTGTTCCACTTCACGCTGAAGTTTTAAAATCCTTAAACGGAACAGAAACTTCCATACTCAGCGCCGCTCTTCTGATGGCCTGGTTAAACTGATTAGAGCCAGCTCCCCAGCCTTTACACCCCCCGTTCCTATGTTCACCAGCTGATAACATCTCTCGTAGCAGGCTCTCAAAGGACTTTTAAATCCCTGATTACCTCTGTGCCCAAATGAGAGGCAAAGCCAGGGTCCTACTGCTACAGAACCCCCGGGGGGGTCCAGCTCCCTGGTGGTGGATCCTCCGCCAGGCACAGAGCAGCCCTAAACCTCTCCGAGCCGCAAGCGGATGTCAAGGCACCTCCCCGGTGATATTCCAGAGCTGAGGTCCTTTGACATCACATTTGGAAATTGGTCCTAGGAAAGTTCTTTTCAGATGGAAACTGCAGTAGGAGTCAGCACTGGTGTTTGAAAGGTTGAACAATTACAGGGGAAACTAATTTATTTTGGATGTTGAAAACCAGTCTGTACTGGTAGGTGCAATTCATGTCCTTTGAAATGGAGGATTAATGAGGCGAAGTTCTGACCGAGACCTGAGAAACGTTGGGTTTTAAACCCGAGCTGGCCTGTGGCGTAATTTCTGGCAGCTGAATCACTGGAAGCCCGATTTGGTGTAACCGTTATGCTCTTCTTGGCAGAACTGACGGTGTCCGAGGGGCCTGATCCTGCGCCAGAGGAGGAGGGAGCCCCCCCAGCTGCTTCTTCACCCGGCTGCTGAACGCGGAGAGACCGGTGGGAGCCCTTGGCAGCTTGTCCTGGTGAGAGCTGCTGGTTTGCCTGGGGTCGGTTGGGATAAGGGGCCGGGGAACCTCGCTTAGCCTGAAGGAAAGTGCGGTGGTATCTCCTGCTAGTAACGGTGGTGATCGCGTAGGAGGGCTGCAAACAGGAAAAGTGGGGTGAAGACCCCAGCTTACGGCTCCTCCATCAGCAGAAGGCGGGGGCGCCTGGTGTTTGCACTGCAGGCAGGCTGCAAAAGAGCCCTTTCCCAGCTCCAGCTTATTTCCATGGGTAGGCAGATAAATTCCATCACTTCCATCTGCCAGGAAGAAGAGGAGTTGCTGGAATAGTTCATTGTCCGGTATCGTGGTTGGTGAGGTTACATGAGAAAACCCTTCCAGCTCAGCCGAGGGAGCGAGGGTGTTGCAAAGCCCCCGTTCCAGCGGAAGGCTGTGTGCTTCGTCCACGTTTGCTTCACTGGAACAGCAGCTAGAGAGGATTTTTCGAGTGCCAAAGAGATAATCTGACTTCAGGGAAAATCTTAGTCTGTAAGGGAATGGTTGTGAAGGGAGGCACGCTGACTGTCTCTGGCAATAGAGAGCTTAACAAGAAAGGGAGCAACCTTTGCACTGGCCTTCGGCTTGGCTCGTTTGCACCTCGGGCAGAGACATCTGTTAAACAGGTGCCTTTTGCTGTCTAGAGATGAATTAGGAAGAAAATAGAGCAGTGGAGGATTCAGTGCGCGGCAAATGATTGCTCAGGGTTTGCACCCAGCACTGGGAACTATGCAGCGAGGCAGGACGTGTCGGCTGCTGGGATGCGGGCAGAACCGGGTGCCTGGTGAGCCGTGCTGTGCGTACGAGCCCGTCACGGCTAAGCTGGAGAGGAGACCAGCTTCCCCTCCTGCTGCTGCTCCTCCTGCGCGAGAGCCACTTCTGGGCACCCAGCCCACGGGGTCCGTACCAAATCACTGCAAAATACCCAGATAGCTGCTGGCACGCTGGCACACACCTCAGAGACGGGCCCTAACGGTGTCCCCACCGCAGCTACTGGCAGCGAGCACTGAGCTTGACCCGGGGCGTTGCGTGCTAGAACTGCCTTTGCTTTCCGCAGCAGCGGGTTGTACCCGGATGCACTTGGACCAGATCCAAGTCATCTTTGCTAATGTAAGAGGAGATCTGTACTCATTCAGCAGTACGGCTCCTGCCCACGATGGGTTTTGCATGGAAAAATGGCTCCTCACCCATCGGGCGCTGGGAGGTAGGAGCTGCGTGAGAGCACCCTGCCCTGCGAATGGGTGACACCGGTAGCTGCTGAGCTGTTAGTCCAGGACGGAGGGTGCTCAGACCGGCTCCGTTATCATCCCCCATGAGTGTAATCCAAACCAGAGGTTCTAACAAACACAAAATGTGATTCCAAGAGTTCACAAGAGGTGACAAGGGACAGAAAAGCAGGAAATAGTTCAGTCCTAACAAGCTTGCTATCTGTGCGAGGCGCTGGGCAGGGGTGAAGGGGGGTGGAAGTGCAACCCCTCGGCGTGGAACCCCTTTCCGAAGCTGGCTGGGGCAAGGCAGGGTCCCAGGGCTTCATGCACTGGGGAAATAGAGCCCCACACCCCACAGGTACCAGAGCACTCTTCAGAGGGGAAACTGGGGCTCCATGCCCTGGGGTACTGGGGCCCCATAGCAGTGGGGGTACCCAGCCTCCGTGCACCAGGGTACAGAGCACTGGGGCAGTGTGCATCGAGGTACCGGGGCTCCCTGCTTTCAGGTGCTGGGGTGCTCTGCACTGGGGATACCTGGGCTCCATGCACCAGGGTACCAGAGCTCCAGGGCAGCAGAGCACCACGCACTGGGGAGATCGGGGCTCTGTGCTTTGGGGTACCAGAGCAATATGTACTGGGGAGGGGAGTGGGGGGAGAGGTTGGGACGCCATGCACAGGGGGATTGGGGCTCTGTGCATGGGGGTGCCAGAGCTCCACACACCAGGCAGTCAGGGCTCCGTACCCCGGAGTACCAGACCTCCATGCACCGCGGCAAACCTCCATCCACAGCTCTGTGCATGGGGGTGCCAGAGCTCCATGCACTGGGGGGACTGGTGCTTTGTGCCCCGGGGTACCAGACCCCAATGCCCCGGGGGGGTCAGGGCTCTGTGCCATGGGGTACCAGACCTTTGTGCTGGGGGGGTCGGGGCTCCGTACCCTGGGGCACCAGAGCTCCATGCATCGGGGG